GGGGGCAAAGATACTTGCTTGTCAAGTTTTCATAGCTTTGAGCCCAGGAGAGCCTGGCTTCAGAGGCCAATTTCATGGCCACCCCAGTAGAGCCGAGAGGGGCATGGAGGTGGGCTGGGCCATTAGAAAGGGCTGCTCAAGGGGGCACAGTATGGACAAGAGGGCCCTAGTGTCTGGGTAATAGCTTGGCCCTGGCTGTGGACACAGTGCCCTCTGTACCCATCTGCCTAGGTTGAGTTCTGCTGTCACCCAACAAATCCTCTAATTCCCAAGGTGAGTTACTATGATTAGGAAGTTTGAAAAAAAGCAAAACCATGGAGTAGAGAGGCAGGTGGAGAGAACAGGAGAGAGGAGGCTTGTCCTAAGCAATCATCACTAATAATAACCTTACAGAAGTCCCTCTGACATCCAGATGTCAAGGTTGGCTCAGAGGGGCTGTTCGATATGGCTTCTCAAATTAGTTATACATGAATGTTAGAGAGATAAAAAAAAAAAAAACCCCACTGCTATCAAGTCCATTCCAACTCATAGCGACCTTATAGAACAGAAAAGAACTGCAACATAGAGTTTCCAAGGCTGTAAATCTTTATGGAAGCAGACTGCCCCATCTTTCTCTTATAGAGCAACTGGTGGGTTCAAACTGCTGACCTTTTGGTTAACAGATGAATGCCTTAACCACTGTCCCACCAGAGCTCCTCTAAAGCAGAGATTAGCTGGAACAAATTACTTAACCTCCCTTTGCCTCAGTTTGCTGATCTGAAGAATGGGGACAATTATTCTACTTCACAGAGAGCATTGAATGCAGCAGTATCTGTGAAGCCTCTGGAACTGTGTCTGGCGTTCAGGGGTGAGATCCCTGTGTGTTAGATAACTACAAATGCCAGCATAGTCTCCATGTCTGGAAGCAGAACTCTGGGGCCTTGCCTCTGGCTTTATGATCTTGGGCAGATCTATCACTTCTCTGAGCCTCAGTTTCCTCACCAGGCCTACAGACACTGGAATGTCTTTCCAGTCCTTCCTAGTTCCTTGAGTATAGAGTATAGAGCCACTCTGCTGTAGCACCGGGCTTCCTTGGAGCCCCTGTGGTCTCCTGGCACAGATGGGGAGATTGAGGCATGGGCTAACCCTCTTGTCCCACCCTTACTTCTAGAAGCCCTGGCTTCTGTGACCTCAGCCCTCATCCGCTGCCTCCCTGCAGCTATGTGTCTGTGTCTAACTGTCCATCTCCTTCTCCTCCTGCCCCTTCCCAACATTCCTGGTCTGGCTGTTCCAGGTTTGTGTAGACCCCCTGCCTCCAGGAACAGCCTCCATCCTGAGACCCCCTCACCCCAGCCCACAGAGTCTGCCTGGCAGGATCCAGGCTTCAGCGAGGATAGCATCCTTGCAGTGGCTCCGTGGAACATCTCACTTCAGGGGGTAAAGTTCACCTCCTCGCTCCTTGCCTCAGTTTCTTCATCAGTAAAATGGGGATAATACCCAACTCTCCACAGAGAATTCAGTTGTTCTTTGAATTAGGAAAGATCGTGTGTGCGGAGTGCTTGACTGGGGCCTGGCAGCATGGAGTGAGGAGCCTCTCAGGCCCAGCCCCAGGCCTGCTGCATCTCAGCGTGCATCTGCAGACCCAGGACATACAGGGTCTTCTTCCCACCCCCCTCCCCATATGTATCGAGCTCCAGGCTTATTGTCTCCCATCCCAGGTTGTGTCCACTGGGAAAAGAAACCTGAGCAGAAGACCCCTGGGGGAGCAGCAGGCAGAGATCCTGGAGATAAAGCCCAGGCCAGGAGGCTCCCCAAGGCATCTCTGTCCTTCCTATCTCTGGCCTCATCTCCAGCCTGTCTTTCAGCCTGGGAACTTAATGGGCTAATTATCCCGACTTAGTCAGAAAGATGGTGTGGCCCGGGACACTAGGGCATGAGGGAGGGAGACTTCAGTGTCCCTTCCCATGGGGTTTCATGGTATGTTGGGAAAAGCCCTGGGCTAGAGTTCTGAGACCCAGTTGCTGGTGACATCACTCCCAACTCACGGCAACCCCTTGTGTGTCAGGGTACAAATGTGCTCCCTAGGGTTTCCGTCCAATGGCTGACTTTTTAGAAGTGATTGCCAGACTTTTTTTCCAAGGTACCTGTGCATAGACTCAAACCTCTAACTTTTCAGTTAGCAGCCAAGTGTATTAACTATTCGTATCACCCAGGGGCTAGCTAGAGTTAGGAGCCCTCCACTGAGACTCACTATGTAGCTTTGGACAGCTTTTTCCTTCTCTGGACGTCTGCCTTTGTGGATACAGTGGAGGTTGACGTAGGTCATTGTGTTCACATTGCAAATGCAATACCCTCAGCCATCTATATGCATTCTCATAGAATCCACATGACCAGCTGAAGAGTGGTTAGTAGTGTTAACGTAATATGCACAGGAGGAAACTGAGGCACCCTAAGTTGTGGTGCTTATTAAAGTGGAGCTGAGATATGAACTGAAGGGTGAGGACCCAACCTCTTTTCTCCCTACTCACCTCCCCCACCTCTGCAAGGCAATGGACCCCACTCCAGAGATGGTCTGCTCCCCTTTCCCACGGAGAGCCTCAGCAGGTGCCCCTAGAGGCCTGGGCTGCCAACAATAGCTACAGACCCTGAGCTGACCCGTCCCTTTATCAGGGCAAGAGATCACAGGCCATCTGGCCCTACAGCTGCCCAGGTGGGCTCACCTTCCCGGCTCCGTTTCAGAGAAACCCTATGCCCGCTCTGGCCCTCCCCCACCTCTGCCCATGGCCCCTCTGCCTGGCCCTCAGGCTTCACCTCCCTCAGTGAGGCCAGTGAGGAGCCAGCTGTCCCTGGAATATGGGGGCTCCTGCCTGGGGCCAGCCCAGGGATTGAGCACCCAGCCCTCCCTGGCCCTTCAAGCTCTGGAGCTTGGGGATGGGGCCTGGGTAGGGGAGGAGGAAGCACACTTCTTAGGCAGCTCCTGCCCTGAGCTACAAACTGAGGGATGTTGCAACCCCAGAGAGGAAACTGCAAGATAATTATGTGAAGGAGAATCGTGACAATTTAGGCTGGCTGAGATCAAATTCTTGCCTCTCCCCTTACCATTGCATAATTGGAGTAGTTTTTTCAACTTCCCTGACCCTTATTTCCTAACTTAGAAAGGCAAAGGGAGTTTTTTTCATAGGATTGTTTAATGAAGATTCAGAGCCAAACCAGATAGTTTTGCTCAGTGCCTCTGCTTATATATGTAAAAAATTACATTTACATATGCAAATAATATTATGTGGAAACTATTCACTCATTTCCAAGGGCCCCGCCCATTCCAAGGGGTAGGCTCTTCTCAGCTCTTCAAATTGCCTGGACTCCAGTGTTCACAGCAGCCCCGGGTCCACACTCACTAGGGGGCAGGTGCTCCATGTACAATACGCTTTTCATCCTGTGAGGAGGGACATAGGTGTTATCCCCACTGAACAGATAAGGAAATGGAATCATAGTGAGGTGAAGGGGACAGACACACATACACACATACACATGGTCTGGCTGATTCCCAGCCACCTCCAACTGCCCATATTGGGCACATCCATCAGTCAGCACTGGGGACATCTGCCTCCAAGTGTTGTCTGAGGTCTCCTGCCTGAAAATTGTCTGCCTCCCTCACAGGAATGGAGCTTCCTCTGACCAAGGGATGGAGTTCCTTCACCACTGTGTTCCCAGTGCCTGTCTGGCATGAAGCAATGGGTTAACATCCCTCTTCCTGATCCTCCATACCCATAGGACCCCTCTGAGGCTACAGGACAGGAGCACCGTGGGTGTGATGCATTAACTAAATAACTTACAAGCTCAAGTTGTGTCAGAACACAGCAGTGAGCAAGGCTGACTCGGTCTGTCCAACCAGAGCCCCTAGGATCATGGGGAGATCAAGACCAGTCAGTTACAACCCAATGGGTAGGGTCTGCCATGATGGGGCAGGGCATGACATGTCCCTCCTGTACCCAAGTTCCTCCCTATATCCTGGCCCTAGTGTCCTCATTTCTCCTCCTGCAGGTTTCTGGCACAGCCCTGAGTGTGAGTTTGTCCGTCACTGCATCGCCAAGTCCCAGGAACGTGTGGAAGGGAAGGTGCAGGTATCTGTCTTCAAGGGCCAGGTGTACATCCTCGGCCGGGAGTCCCCACTATCGCTCTACAATGAGGAGTTGGTGAGGTAGGTGCCCCACCCCTCCCACAAAGCATGCTTAGCTCAGCCTGTCCTGCACTGGACACCAGGCCTTCACACCCATTGCCTCTTATAACTTGCTTCTTTCAACAAGCACATGTCAGGTAATGAAAGAGATGGAAGAGATGGTCATGAAGAGTATTTAATGCAATTTATGCCCTTGACATAAATGTGGAGCTTGCAGGCTAGATGGGGAGAGAGACATCAATCAATTGATCATACAAATGTAGAGTTAGAAAAGTTGATGATGTGCTCTGAAGAAGCATAGGATACTCTTGTTGGGTATAGTAATTGGGGTTGGGGAGAAGCTTCCTGAAGGAAGTTATCTTTGAGCTGATCTCTGAAAGAAAGGAGTTAACCAGTCAAAGAGAGGGAGAGCAGGTACAAAAGTTCTGAGCCTTGGAAGATCCTGGTACATCCCAGGCGCTACAAGAACATGAGGGCTAAAGGGTCGGGAAGAAGGATCTAGAGCCAGATCTTAAAAGGCAGTTGGCAATGGAAGGACATGGTCAGATCTGTGTTTTGAAAGGTTCTTCTGCCTGTTCTGGAGAATAGATTCAGGTGTGAGGGAAGCTGGCAAAGGTAGAAACAAAGACACCCTGTGGGAAATGCTGGTGGTTTGAACCAAATTGATGATTATAAGAATAGAAAGAAGCTGACAGATTTGACAAATATCTAGGAGGTGGGATCAAAAGGGCTCGGATTGGAGGGAAAGGGGAGGTGTCTGGAATCACCCTATTTTTGATGTGTGAGCAGCTGGGTACGTGTTGGTGGTAATCACTGAGTTGAGGAACATTCCTAGGAAAGACCATGCATTTAGATTTGGACATCTTGAGTCTTGGCATCCTTTCCGACAGTCAAGGAGAACTATCTAGTTGGTCATTGAACACGAGTCTGGGGTTAAGGAGAAAACTGGGCTGAAGACATTGGAGAGACATAGGCATTTCTATGTTCTTTGAAGCCTAGAGGAGATTCTCTAGGGGGACAAGAAATACAACCTTGAGCTTCCTCACTAATGGGCCTGGCAAAGGGTGGCTGAGAAGGCACTCACAGAGAAGTGGGAGGAAAACTCTGGGGGAATAGTTCCAAGGTGGTAGTGGTGTTAGTTGCCACTCAGTCATCTTTGACTCATGGTGACCTTGTGTAAAACAGGACAAAACATTGCTCAGTCCTAGGTCATCTCCATGAGTGCTGGTGTGTTTGAGTCCATGAAAAGCCCATGGGTCAAAGGTAGCAGCTGGCTATTAGCTGCCACTGTGTTTGCTTGGTCAATGAGAGAGCGGCCTCCTCTGGAGGTCACCTGGCTGAGCAAGAGGTGGGAGCAGACCCCTGTGGAACAGGCCCACCTGATGCAGGTCCCAGGCCCAGTTTCGCTCAGGCTGACTCCAGCTCTTCCCTCCCAGAGGCCAGTTGAGAATTAAAGTACGAGTTTTGTTTGGCAGCCAATATTATTTTTTCTTTCCCTTCTCTTTGCCATGTTGAGTTTCTCTCCCCTTCAATCTTTCTAAACACTTTATAAGCCATAAATATAACCGAATCAGTTTAGATCAGTCGGGGTAAATGTCAAATTATCTTCTCTCTTTCTCTCTCTGGCTCTTTCTTCCCTCCCCCTCCAAATCAACAGCCTCTAATAATCTGTCCAACCCTTCATTAAGCCTTACAGTCTCACTCGGGGAGATTAAATGAATAAAGTAAAAAGGGAAAGGAGAAAAAAAGAGAGAAAAGCAGGAGCATTTATTCTCACTGTGTCTCCGACCATTTCCCTTTTCTTTTTGATTTCTACATCACTGACTTGAAAGCCCTTGAGTGACAGCGTCACAGGGACCAGCAAGGAAGCCGCGAGAGGTAGCAGAACTGGAAATGCCGCGGCACAGTAGGTAGAAAGTAACGTAATTATAGAGCAGGTCAGAGCCACTCGAATGAGCAAAAATAAAAGCACAGAGGTTTTCTGTAGACCGTCAGGGGAGGTAAAAAAAAAAAATCATTGTAAACTCTTTTCCACCTCCCCCCCCCCCACCCACCCCAACCACAATTTTAGAAAGAGGTTGTTCAGTTCCTGAGGAACACCTCTCGGAGCTCTTCGGCAGCTTTGGGAGACAAGTTTGTCCCTGAGTGTGGGCCGTCTTTGCAGGAGCTGCCGGGCGGTCTGGAAGGGCCCATTTTGGGGCTGGGGATGGGAGACTTTGTTTTGACATGTGAGAGGTGGTGGCTCATGGGGGCAAGGGGCAGGGAGAGGGGAATTCCTCTCCCTGCCTTCTCCCTGGCCTGAGGACCAGGACCCCTCCGAAGGGGAGGGGGAGATTAAGAAGGTGGGCGAGGCTGGATTTTGAGAGCATGTTGGACAGTTTATGTGTTAGGGAGTGAGGGGCGCTGAGCCTTGTCTATCGCCCATGAGCAAGGTCTGAAGAGGGGTTTGAGGAGGTGGATGCATTTGGTTTTGGTTCCTGAGGCGCTTACTCCGTGCACAGGGAGGGCACTGAGAGGCAGACACCCAGAAAGAGTCTGCTGTCTTCTCTCCTTTCAGTGAGCTGCTGGTGACTTGGGTGACTGCTTCCTGAGGCCCAGAAGGGCTCCTGGAGGTGGGCTGGGGGGAGATCAAGTTGGGGTGGGAAAATGGGGGAGACTTCATGGAGAGTTCCATGTGCCGCTCCAAGGCCTAATGAAGGTCAGGGTGAGGTCGTGAGGGGGTGCGCAGAGCCCAAGTCCTGAACAAGTCAAGTCCCTGGGCCAGGAGGAGGCCGAGACCCCATTTGTCCTTGTAAAAAATCCACAGTCCACAAAGACAACCAGTCAGAGGTACAGCTGCTCCTCCCTCCCCCTCTCCCCCACCCCACCTCACCTCTCCAGAGAGGGCTCTTGAGGGGACAGGCCACCTCCTTGTCACCGAGAACCTTGAGACGGCTTTGTCCCGAGGCTGGAGTTCTGTATCTCCAGCCCTTTCAGACAAGAAGACAAGGGGCTGATTCAGGGCAGGACATGAGGAGGGGCCCGTGAGAAACAGGCTCAGGCAGCTCAGAGGCGGGCCCCATCTCAGAGGCCTCAGAGGTGGCCTCGTGGAGGAGTTGGGCCTTGGGAGACCACAGCTCCATCACACTTACCAGTGGTTACGGGGTCACCTCCAACTCGCGGCAGCCCTATGTGTGTCAGACCAGAACTATGCTTCACAGGGTTTTCAGTGGCTGTTTTTTCAGAAGTAGATTGACAGGCCTTTCTTCCAAGGTGCTCCTGGGTGGACTCACACCTCCAGCCTTTCAGTTAGTAGCCAACCACATTAACCATTTGCACCACCCAGGGACTTATCAGTGCTTATCACATGGTTCTATTTCTGGAATGCTTAATAGGTGATTGATTGCTTATGTCTGCCTCCACTGTGGGCACCTTACCTGTCCTCTTCTTGTGTCCTTGCACCTGGCACAGTGCCTGGCAGAGTGCTGTTGTTGAAAGGTGCCGTCGAGTTGATTTCAACTCATAGCAACGCTATTGAAGAATAGGACTTCCCCATAGGGTTTTCTTGGCTGTGACCTTTACAGAAACAGGTTGCCAAGTCTTTCTCCCATGTGGCTGCTAGGTAAGTTCAAACCATCAACCTTCTGGTTAGCAGCCAAGTCCTGTGGTACCACCAGGGCTCCTTGACAGGCAGGTAGTAGGTACTTAATAAATACATGAATAAGTGAATGAGTGAATAAAAAAGGAAAACTCACTGCCATTGAGTCAATTCCGATTCATAGCGACCCCCTTTGGGTTTCCGAGGCAATAAATCTTTAAGGAAGTAGAGTGTCCACTCTTCTATGGAGTGGCTGGTGGGTTTGAACCGCCAACCTCCTGGCTAGTAGTCAAATGCCTTAGGCGCTATGCCACCAGAGCTCCTTAAATGAGTGAATAGATGAATAATATTAGTAACTTTAAAGAGCCAGTTTTCACTGGCCCCATTTCACAGATGAAGATAATGAAGCTCTGAGGGTGAATAAATGCCTTCAGATTTATGGGAATGGAGCTAGGATGCATTCCCAAATCTGTGGGACTAGAATGACTGCTGTGATTGAGAAGAGCTTGGAAGAGCAGCTAAATGAGGACAGTCCTAAAGATAAAGGCAGTCAAATCTGGAAATACGGAAACTACGGAGGAAAAGAATATGATCAATTGACCATAACAGCCACTGACCAGGCACTTTTCGTGACCAACTGGTGTGGGGTGGGTGCTGGGGTTTGAGGATGGATTAGACAGGGTCTGACTGGTTGGACAAAAAGATGACAGGAGACTTAGCAGCCCAATCTTTCTGTGAACACTGGAGGCTGCAGCTTGAGAGAAGCTGTCAGTCAAACACAAGCCTGTTCCCTTGCATCTGAGCCTTTGGGTCACTGGACATTGTCAGCTATTACCGGACACTTCTTTCTGAGCCTCACCACAGTCACAAAGACGGAGCTGGCTTAGATCTGGGTTCTCAGTTGACAGAGTACTCTGATTTCACCCAGCTAGTACTGGCTGATTCAATCTGTATGCTGAGCAAATACTCCAAGAAGCTGGACTATATGAAGAAGAACAGAACATTAGGATTTTGACTCATTGACAACCCTGTAATATGCAGATGACACAACCTTGCTTGCTGAACGTAGAGAGGACTTGAAGTACCTACTGATGAAGATCAAAGACTACAGCCTTCAGTCTGGACTGTACCTTGTGGTAGTTAAGATTGTGGGTCACCTTGGCTGGGCCTGTTTGAGTGTCTGGGCAGCTGGACATAGTTGTTCCCCATGGTGAGATTGGTAATTAATTCCATGGTGGAATCTACTGGAGCAGCTGAGGGGCTGCTTTAGGGATGCGAGCTGCTGCCAGTCGATAAGAAGCAACACTGAGGAAGCTCTCCAGCTTTTTGGCACACTTGACCCACAAGTCATTATTCAACAGCCTACCACGCCCTGCCAACCTTGGGGCTTTTACTGGACTTGAATTAGTGGCCTGCCATGTTGTTTAGTGATATTGGGACTGTGCCTTTTCACTTGTTGACCTTGCGTTTGTCAGCCTCAACAGCCAGCTACTGCCTGAGTGGGCCAAGAGCAAGAGGCAGAGCTGAATCACAAGGTCAAGGGGCTTTCACCTACCCCCTAGAGACTGGCACTTTGAACTCAACTCTAGCTTCCAAAAAGTGTAAGAATAAACTCCTGTTTGTTCAAAGCACCCATTTGTGGTATATTCCTGTAAGAACAGCACTAGGTAACCAAAACATACCTCAACATAAAAAAAAAAAAAAAAAGTCTCACAACTGGACCAATCAGTGACAGCATGATAAATAGAGAAAACATTGAAGCTCTCAGGGATTTAATTTTTTCTTGGATGCACAATCAACGCCCATGGAAGCATGATTGCTATCAAGAAATCAAGTGACATACTGCATTAGGCAAATCTGCTGCCAAAGACATCTTTAAAGTGTTAAAAAGTAAATACGTCACTTTAAGGACTAAGGTGCACCTGACCCAAGGCATGGTATGCATTCAAAAGCTGGACAATGAATAAAGAAGACTGAAGAAGAATTGATTCATTTGAATTATGGTGTTGGTGAATAATATTGGATATATCGTGGACTGCCAGAAGAACAAACTAGTCTGTCCTGGAAGAAGTACAACCAGAATCGTCCTTAGGAGCGAGGTTGGGGAGACTTGGTCTTATGTACTTTGGACATGTTATCAGGAGGGGCCATTCCCTGAAGAAGGATGGCACGCTTGCTTGGTAGAGTAGAGTGAAATAGAGGAAGACTTGCACCAAGACAGACTGACACAGTGGCTGCAACAATGAGTCAAACCCAGCATTGATGATGAGGATGGCGCAGAGCCAGGCAGCGTTTTGTTCTGTTGTACAAAATTTAGAAATATATTTAAAAATATAGAATTGCTACGAGTCGAAACTGCCTTGATACCTAGCAGCAACAGTACTGGCTGATACCATATAGTGGTGGTTTAGTGGTAGACTTCTCACCTTCCAATCTGGAGGCCTGGGTTCGATTCCTGGCTAGTGCACCTCACGTGTCTGTCAGTGGAGGCTTCTGTGCTGCTATGATGCTGAACAGGTTTCAGCTGAGCATCCAGGCTGAAACAGACAAGGAAGAAAGGCCTGGCGATCTACTGTCAAAGTCAGCCAATGAAAACCCTGTGGGTCACAACAGTCTGACCATAGCTCATCACTGGGATGGCGTAGGACTGGGCAGTGTTTTGTTCCATTTAGCACGGGGTCCCCATGAGTCAGGGGCCATCTTAACGGCAGCTAACCACAAGTGTTGGCTGAGCCGCCTCTCTCCCAGCCTCCCCGCACTTGTGTAGCAGGGAAGAGACGGCTGTGCTCTCCTGGAAGGCAAGGCCATGTCAGTCTTGCTCTCCAGCCCCTGGCACATTGCCTGATCCAGAGTAGAGTCTCCCTGAGTTGGACAGAAACTGAATGGAAGACAAAGCGCAGGCAGGATTTGGACTAACACAGGGAGAGGAAATGGTCTGGGCATCTGAGGAGCTGGGCCTGGGCCTAGAAGTCGCTCTGCTCCCTCCGACACAGAGAACAAGGCCCAGGGTTGTGCTGACAGGCTTTTGCTCTGTCCTTGCAGCATGAACGTGCAAGGCGATTACGAGCCCATCGATGCCACTGGTTTCATCAACATCAACTCTCTTAGGTAAGACCATCTGGGCCCTAATGGGCCTCAGACCACGGGGTGTGGGGAGCAGGCTCTGACCACTGCTCTGTCCTAGTCAAGCTCCACCTTCCTGTCAATCACCCATGACATCCTCAGTGCCTACCCTGGACCCAGCTTGCTCCCACGTTCATTGGGGCCAGAAGACATGCTTGTGACAGCCATAAGGAGTAAGGGGGCTTGGACATGTGGGTCCCAAGTTCTTAGATCTTGTCCTTTGCCTGTGGCACTCACTCCCACACTCTCCAGCCATAGGGACCCCCGTACATGAGCCCTTTTCCTAGGCTGGTTAGAAATGGATGTGGCTGGATGGTGAAAAGGACCCTCAAGAGGTCACCTTGTCCAGCTCCTGCCTTCATGTAGCCATATGACAGCTGCAGGTTTAGCTGGAAACCATCCTAGCCATGGAGCTCTCCAGGCCCCAGTGGGGTGGCACACATATTCCGAAGCTTCTTAGACCTTAGGTATAAATTTCAAACCTTACCCAAACCTCTGAGAGTCACAAAGTGGGGATATTAACAGCACCTGCCCCAGTGCCCAGCAGCCATCGCTCTGACTGGGCGTGGCCTGCGTGCGGTGTATACAAGAGCAAACTGGGTCATTACCAGCAGGAACCATGGACTACACCACTTCCAAGCACTCCCCTAAATTGTCTCATTAATTCTTACACAAATTTGCAGCTGCAAACATAGGCCCAGAGTGGCTGAGTAACTTACCTGAGGTCACATAGCTAGGAAATTGGGGAGCTGAGTCCTGAAGGTCTATTGGTCCAGCTCTGGGTTCTTAATCACCAATTTCTTTCTCATGAGGCTTAGGGTTGAGAAGGTGTGAGTTGCTCTCCCCTTCCTGACAGTATGCCCTGAGCACAAAAACAACAACAACAAAAAAAACTCACTGCTGTCGAGTTGGATCCAATTCATAGTGACCCTTCCTTGGGTTTCTGAGGCAGTATCACTACGAAAGTAGATTGCCCAACCTTCCTTCCCAAGGAGTGGCTGGTGGGATTGAACCACCAGCATTCTGGTTACCAGCCCAATGCCTTAGGCACTATGCCACCAGAGCGCCTACCCTGAGCACAGAGCCACCATTTTCTCCCAGAGCCAGTCTCTGTGCCTGGAGCCACCCCAGCCCGGGAGAGACACTGAATCCATCCCGAATGCCCTGGGTACTCTCCTCCCCACAGCCACCTCTAACCGCCACCCCCCCTTTCCACCCCACCCCCGCCTCCTGCACCCTCTGTTTGTATTTTATGACTCTATAAACCCTTTTAAATGGCCCAGAACACACCGTGTTTTCATAATGGCCCCTTCATTTCTCCCATTGCCAGCTAACTGCTTTGTCTTCAACAATGACAACCAATGTTTTCTGCCTACAGTAAATTAATTACATTATCCTGATCAGAGGGCAGAAGAGGCCAGGGCAGCAGAGGGAAGAGAGGAAGGAAAAAAAAAAAATTCACACACATCTTAACAAATAGCTGGGCCCCCCAACCCCCCAGCCCTGCCTAAACTAATTGAAACTCATGCATGTTGTTATTGTTAATTTACATTTTTCTTTGTTTTGAATCTGGTTTACAGGCTGAAGGAATATCATCGTCTCCAGAGCAAGGTCACTGCCAAATAGACTGGCTGACAATGAGGAGCTGGGCCTCCTCACTTTGCCAATTTCCCAAGTACAGGCGCTAATTGTTGTGATAATTTGTAATTGTGATTTGTTCTCCGTGGCTAGCAACATCTTGGGGGCGCCAGACCCCAGCTTTGTTCCCTGTTCCCCCCTAGCCTGTAAAAGTGATCAGCAAAAGGAAGAGTAGGGGCTGGCTACAGTAGGGAGCTGTAAAATGACAATTAAAAAGAAAAAAAAAAAAAGATACATTAGTCTTTTGTTTCTTTATTCCTGCAGGGGGGGGGGGGGTGAGTGTGCACATGTGTGCGTATGCGCACGAATGTGTAGTCAATCATGCTTTTCTTAGCCTAATCTTTGTGCTTTGTGATTTAAGTGCTACTGAAGGCCACCTTTTGCCCAAGAACCTGTTTCATCTGGAAAGTCAATCGTTCTCTTCTCCAGCAAAAACTAGGAATTCAGAAGTGCCCACCTGGGTCAGGTTTTAGCTCCAGCAGCTGGGAATTTGGTCACCCACAAGAAGCAAAGAGAGTTTACATGACAGGCTTGGGGAGTGTCCTGCCCATGGCCCTTCCTCTGGACATTGCTTTTACCCAGAGCCCCCGCAGAACTCCTGGATAGTGGCCACACTGACCACCTGATGCTTCCCCACCACAGCTAAATGGTCTAACCCACCCTCCCACTGCCATTGAAGCAATTCTGACTCACAGCAACCCCATGGGGAAGAGGAGAACTGCTCCATAGGGTTTCCAAGGTTGTACCTCTTTACACAAGCAGTCTGCCTCATCTTTTTCCCAAGGAGTGGCTGGTGGGTTCCAACTGCCAACCTTTTGATCAGCAGTCAATTGTCTTAGCTACTGCACCAGCAGAGCCCCTTGAATGGCCTAAAGCAGCCTAGATTAGGGAGGAGGAAGAACCTGTGTAAGAAGAGGAGTAGGAGGGGAAGCCTGTACAGAGGAGAAATGAACACAGAATTTAGGGGGCACTTATGGGAGTAGGGATGTCACCCAGGATACAAGGTTCTCTGTATGGCTAGTTCACAAACCAGGACCCAACACAGCCATGTTCTGCTGTGACCCCGCCCCCCCCATCCCCTTCCAAACCAAACTCACTGCCATTGAGTCAATTCTGACTCAAAGCAACCCTTCCTTGGGTTTCCAAGGCAGTATCACTATGGAAGTAGATTGCCCAGTCTTCCTGTTGAGGAATGGCTGGTGGGTTTGAACCACCAGCCGCCTGATTAGCAGTCAAATGCCACCCCTGTCCCCTTGGTCATATCTGACTGGACCACTACTGGTCACCTGACCTGAGCTGGGCCAATCAGAGTCTCACTCCTAGGCATTTGGATTTCCATTTATTTATTTATTTATTAAGGCTGCTGCAAAATGGTCAAAACTGAGGACAAGTGAGTTTTTGCATGGTGCCTTGGCAGGTGCTTGGAGAAGCACAGTCTACAGAGGAGAAGGATGCAGGCAGAGAAGCGGAGGGGAGGAGATGAAAAGAGTGGCTTACGGGTTGAGTCCTAGTTCCCATCCTGATACCATCATGAGAGCTGATGGCATTTCTTGACCTGGATTCCCTGAGACACCCTGGTATTCTCATAACAAATTGCCATTTAGGGCTTAAGTTTCTGGAGGGAGTTTCACTGCTTGAAACCAAAAACATCTGTACTGGGAAGACTTGAATTCTGATTCCTCTGGGCCCTGCCCTGATTCTAGACCCAGAACTTGATCTCCCAGTTTCCTACTCCACAGCTTTTGTCAATGAGGGCTTCTTTAAAAAGTCTTGTTTGCCTTTAAAACTTCTTTTTCTCTGATGATGAAAGTTATAAATATCCATGGTGATGATAGTAATTCCAAAAACAAAACAAAGCCCGGTGCCATCAAGTCAAGTCCAACTGGTAGCACTCCTGTAGGATGGAGGAGAACTGCCCCATAGAGCTTCTAAGGCTATACATCTTTATGGAAGCAGACTGCCTTTCTCTCGCGGAGCGACTGATGGTTTCAAAACCACCGACCTTTTGGTTAGCAGTCAAATGCTTTAACCACTGCTCCTTTTAATTACTCAGTGCATATCAACTTTGAGCCAAACACTTCGCTACACATATTTTGTTAGCATTATTTCATTGAATGCTCAAAACACCACTCTGTGAGGTAGGCACTTAACCTCCATTTTCCAGAGAGGCAACTAAGGTGCAGAAAAATCTGTTTGCCAAAGTCACACAACTAGCAAATGTCAGAGCTAAGAGTCAAGCCCTACCCTGGCTGACTCCAAAGGCCTTGTGTGTATAATAGAAAGTATCTTAATTTTTTTTTTTTTTCTTTTAAGAATGAGGAAACAACAGAAAATCTTATAGAAATAATTCACCCATTCTCACACCATCCAGTTACAAACACTGCTTATATCTGGTATAATTCTCTTTTTTGATCATATTTTTCTATGCTTATAAATATTTTTGCAGAATTATGTAGAGAGAAGTAGAAATACAGTGTTGCACTCTGGCTTTGAAATTCTAATGTGATATCATAAATACTTTCCTATATCATTAAAAATTCTTCATAAGAAATTTCAAGGAGCCTTGGTGGCACAACAACTAGGTGCTCAGCTGCTAACCAAAATGTTGACGGTTCAATTCACCCAGTGGCTCAGCCAAAGAAGGACCTGGTGACCTGTTTCTGTAAAGAACACAGCCAAGAAAACCCTACGGGAAATTCTACTCACGTGGGTCACTAAGATTCAAAGTTGACTCAATGGTAAACTCAACAAGTGATTTCAACCCCTGCCTAATATTCCTTATACTGACACCCTTCACCTTACTTACCTTTCCCCATTTATGGATTTAGCTTTGTTGACATTCTAGATTATTTTCTTGCTTTTTAAATTTATTGAGTTTTTAATTATTGGCTTCTTCTATATTTCTTTTTTAATGGTTTTTCTAGGGTCTACAACATGCAGCTTTAACTTACCACAATCTGCCTTCAACTGATATTACACCACTTAGTGTGTCATATAATCACCATACAATACAACCTTAGAACACTTCACTTTGTGCAATTGTTGTCACATCTATTACTTTTACAAAACCCCACAATACATTATTATCTTTCTGCATACATTTTCTTCTTCAATCTATTGATGTGATGGATTGCATAAACTGATTTTCAAATGTTGAACCAGCCTGGCATGCCTGGAATAAATCCTACTTGGTTGTGATCTTTTCATACATGGTTGGATTGGATTTGCTAATATTTTCTTACTGGTTTTTACATCTGTTTTCATGGGAGATATTAGTCCGTGTTTTCCTTTCTTGTAATGTCTTTGTTTTGGTATTAGGGTGATGCTGGTCTCATAGAATAAGTTAAGATGTGTTCCTTCTGCTTTTATTTTCCAGAACCAATTGCAGAGAACTGGTTTCCTTCCTTCCTTAAATGTCTGGTAGAATTCACCAGGGAAACCGTCTGAGCCTGGTGCTTTCTATTTTGAAAGGTTATTAGTTATTGATTCAATTTCTCTAATAGTGTGGTGGTTATATTTGTGTGTCAACTTGGCTGGGCCTGGTTGAATGGCTGGGCAACTGGTGGTAGTTATTCCCCATGATAAGACTGGCAATCAACTCCATGGTGGGATCTACCACAAGCAGCTGAGTAGCTGCCTTGGGATGTGGTCTGCTCCCTGTATATAAGGAGAAGCCTTGGGAATGGTCTCTAGCCTATGGCAAGCTTGGACCCTGCGTGTAGCCATGTCATTGCTCAGCTATGCTCTGCTGACCTTGGGACTTACAATGGACTTAAGTTAATGGCCTGCCGTGTGGTTTGGTAACATCGGGACTGTGCCTTTATACTTGTCTACCTTGGGGCTTCTCAGCCTCAGCAGCCAGCAGCTGTCTGAATGAAGAAACACTTCTAGCTCCAGTGGGCTGGGAGCAGGAGGCAGAGCTGGACCCCAAGGTTGAGGGGCTTTCACCCAGCCCCTAGAGCCTGGCACTTTGAACTTGGACTTAAAGCCTCCAAATTGTAAGAATAAACTCCTGTTTGTTAAGGCCATCCCATTTGTGGGATATTCTTGTCAGAGCAACACTAGGTAACCAGAACAAATAGATACAGGCCTATTCAGATTATCTAGTTCTCCTGTGTGAGTTCTGGTAAATTATATCTTTCAATACATTGGTCCATTTTACCTAAGTTGTCACATTTGTAGACATAGAATTGTTCATAATCTTCCCTTATCCTTTTAATATCCATGGGATCAGTAGTGATGGCCCCTCTTTCAAATCTGATATTAATATTTGTATCTTCTCTTTTTTCCTGGTTATTCTGGCTACGAGTTTATCAATTTATTGATCTTTTCAAAGAACTAGCTTTTGGTTTCATTGATTCCATTGTTTTTCTTTTTTTTATTTTCAGTGATCTCAGCTCTGATTTCTATTATTTCTTTTCTTTGGCTTCAGATTTAATTCATGATTCTTTTCCCATCACTCTTTATTAGTGGAAAGTAGTGCATTTTCTTTCTCTGACAGGTTTCCACCTTGCACAGATTCCAGCTTTCACAGGTTTTACTGTAGACACATCCAAGCAAACCAACCAAACTTACTGCCATCAAGTCAGACCCAACTCATAGCGACCCCTCCTTGGGTTTCTGAGGCAGTGTCTCTACAGAAGTAGATTGCCCAGTCTTCCTTCCAAGGAGTGGCTGGTGGGTTTGAACCGCCAGCCTTCTGGTGAGCAGTCAAATGCCTTAGGCACTATGCCACCACAGCTCCCGTATACACAACCAGTGCTATAAGATTCCCTCTAAACACTGTTGTCATTGAATCCCACAAATTTTGTAAGTTGTATTTTCATTTTCATTAAGTTCAAACTATTTTAAAATTTCTTTTAAGACTTCTTTGACTTATGTGTTATTTAGAAGTATATTGTTTAATCCAAATATTTTGGGTTTTTTTTTTTTTTTTTTTGCTATCTTTCTGTTATTGATTTCTAGTTTAATTCCCCTGCGACCTAAAAGCATACTTTGCATAATTTCTGTTAAATTTGTAAAGCTGTGTTTTATGTTTTATGTGGTCAACCTTGGTGAATGTTCCATATGAGCTTAAGGAGAATGTGTATGTTGTTGTTGGATGAAGAATTCCATAAATGTCTATTAAACCCACTGCCATTGTCAATTCTGACTCATCGCAACACTATAGGAGAGAACAGAACTTTCTCATAGGCTATCCAAAGCTGTATGTAATCTTTATGGGAGCAGACTGTTCATCTTTCTTCTGCCGA